TTCATGAGGGCTCCTCCCTCGTGGCCTAATTACCTCCTCCAAACTCCACCTCCTACTAACATCACATGGAGATTAGATATGAATCTGGGGACAACACATTGAGTCTATAACAGAAAAGAAAGGAAGGGAAATAAATTGTTCTAGTGTATTAATGGTGAGTTTGGTCACTAAAGAACCAAAGAATAGCAGATGATATCTTTGATTTCTGGGTGGGCTCATTCAACAAAGATTATCTAGTGTCTTCTCAATGCCTTGGATCGAGAGACACATCAATGAACAAGATGAATGAAATCCCAGCTCTCAAGGAGCTTATATTCTAGAGGGTAGAATAAATTTGATATCTATATCTATAAAGATAATAGTAAATGGTAAAGGGGAGCAAGGAAGGAGGATGGAGAGTATAAGGGGAATACATGTGTAGTTAATTCTTAGAATATGTTAACTAACGTATGAGGTTTATTTCTTTTTAATAGCTTGGTACTGGAAAATGCATTGATTTTTATTAATTTGTCTACTAAGAAAACAGAATATGGTGTACACACTTAAGATTTCTAGATTCTTCAGGGTATTATGAAAGAGGCTCTTGAGCACTTGGACAATGGTCCTCATAGGGATAACAGGATATTTTAGTGACAAATCATAAACTGTACTTGGTTAGACAGTAGTCATTGCAGACAATTGGGTTTAGATATCTACTTAGGATCACCTCTATTTAACCTACTCAGGTTGTCCTCATTAGGGCTTTTTACTTAGAACACTATTATAGCAATCATATACTGTATTTTTAGCATCTTATATAAACTTCCCCACAAATGCCCAAGTTATATAACCAGTCCCCCTCCCCCCACAGGCTTTTCTCCAGTCTCTCAGATTTATGGTAGGGGCAAAGGATGTGTGTGGGGTAGGGGATCCCTATCCATGAAAAATGTTCATGTCACAGGGTTGGTTCCCCTTCCTCTGAACAGGGCTAAGTGTACACCATCAAATGTGTTTTTTGATACCCTCTTCTTCTATTCTCAGCCTTCACCTTCTGCTGTTACATTTTCATCAGGTGTCACATTGCTGTGTTCCTGAGCCTGGGAGACTCCTTGCCTCCTATTATTGTGTTCAAATAAACCCCTAGGGCTTGGCTATAAGAGGCAGAAGGCACTTTAGAGCTAATTCCAGTTCCCTTTTTACAGAGGCCCAGGGAAGCCAGATGACTTCTTTCCAGGCACAGAGGCATGGATACTGTCAGTATCAGTCTCTGGATTCCCTTCTCCAGTATGACTTCTATTAAACCAGCAGCTTCTGGGATCTTTATTTAAAAAAAGATTAATAAAGTTAGAAATATGAGAAGTGGTCTCTAAATCTTCTTCCATCTGTTTACCATGTATAGAAACATTAAGGAGCTTATGTGGAATTTTATGTTTGACTATTTTCAATGCAGTGACTAGAAGAACATTATCAACTAAAATCAGGAAGAGGTCATAATTTTGCTGGGTTTTTATTTTGCTACTTGGATTGAACCTATGGCTTTCTTAAGCATAAACTCCATCAGTGAGCTTCACTGGAGTCCCCTGCTTGGTTCTTCAAAGTTTAAATTCAGTCTCTGTCTCTTTTAGTGATAAGAATGTGAAGAAACAAATGGCAAACTCAGAGAAAAAAAGAAAAAAGGTTCAAATACACATCTTCAGCTGACTTGTATACAATAAAAGCACAGTGTTATGTGATTCTTAAACAGGAGTTTACCTAACTATATCAGGAAAAGTCTTCTGGTGTGGCAGTGGGTGGGAGGGATAAGCAGGGAATGATGGTGATAAGCATTTTCCAAATTAGGAAACAGATACACTTTTCTTCTTACTCTCTTACATAACCGATCTATTTTAGAAGACAACTAAAAAACTGAAATGAAATACAAATCTCATGATTTTACTACTTTGCTATCAAAGAATGACACAAGCAAGTAATGCTTGAAGGAAAAAAGAAAAGGAATCATATTCCTCCTGGTTGCAGGGGCTGTCTGCAGGATTCCCTCTTTTTTCCTCACAGCCTACTGGGTGAGTCAGAGACCAAAGTCTGAATTTTAGAAAAATGAATGAAGATACTAATTTCTCTCTCTTTTGAATTTAAAAAGTGGTTGCATCAAAGTGTATGTCCCTTTTTGGTGGCATGGAATGACAGAAGAGTGACCTGTTACAGTGCTGGTGATTGCTCTGCCTAGACTTCCTGATTCACAGGGAAGTTGTGCAGCATACAAAGGCCACAGTGGCAGTACAGCCTCTTACATAAATAAGTTACATAAATGAGAACAAGTTATGTAAATGTATAAACCAGCAAACATGAATTATAACCATTCACAAATGCCAAGGAGAACAGGGCAAGATTCCTCCTACAGTTTCATTTTCCCCCTCACATTATCATAATTGTGTCATTTTATTTCACATCATAAGCAGATTTTTTTAACTTATTAGGGATAGGAACTCCGTATTATTTGCTGAACCATATACTTTTTGGGGGGGAAAACCCATAATAAAAATCTGATTTAAACTATATTTGAAAAGTAATCTATGAATGCTTGTGGACTTCTTCTACTCTCTGGATAATCATGAACAGATTTATGAAATATTTACTGTAGCTGCTAAGGACAAGACTGCATCTCAAAAGTTAATGTGCATGTACATATGGATATTTGTTATACTAGTTGATTTTCAGGTCTCAAGTACATGGGTATCAACTGAAGTCGTGGTTCTGTTTGAGGGAGAGTGTAATTTAGGTAGTTAGGATTCGATTTAAGGTTATGCCCCTGAATTAATCCCAATGCTCCCCAGCCCAAATGATTAGGAAGTGCTCCTCAGATCTCCCTGCAATTTGCTTCAGGTGCAAAGTGAATAATAATGAACTTGTCTCTGCATCCTATTAGAACACGAGCCTGGGATTTTCTCAGTCAACTCTTTTTTTTTCCCAATTCCTTAGGGCTAATATGTATCTTTTCTGAAGTTACACAATTTGCTCATTGTGTGGTAAAACCACATGTAGCTCAAATATTTTTGAGCCTTAATTGCCTGTTCTGTATAAACAGGGATATTAATGAAATGTTAGCCAATTTCACACAGAACATGACGGTTAATATTCCATTTAACAACTTCTTTTACTTCGAAAATCTTTACAGAATAATATTTAAAGAAATATTACATGTTATTAAACCTTACATATCATTACAATCACAGTAACATTATAGTGGAAGGTTAGATGAGATTAAAATATCTTACATAATATTGGCTGGGTGATTCTGGACAAATAGCTTTCTCTCGCTGTTTCCAAACATTTGAAAAAAGAACCAAAAGTTCTCTTCCTACATCGAAAATCTAATACCCTATAATCAAATCTATAAATATTTTCAACAGAGAGCTTTAAACTCGCTGCTGACAAGTTTAAAGGAAATGTAACCCGTTCTTTGTAAGTCAGATAATATTTTTTTTTTCCTCCCATAGGCAAAACTGAAGACCCGCTTGAGTTGGGTGATCTGGTGACAGCCATGTGAAAAAGCCTTGATCCTCGTGTTCTTTTAAAATATCAAATGCAGCACCCAGGTGTTGTGCTTGCAGTTTGGAGAGTATCTGAGGAACTTGGGGGCTTCCCCACTCGAAAGCGGGGCGGGGGGTGAGTTTCTGAGTTTCAAACAGGAAAGACGGCACTAACTTGGCACCAAAAAACCCCTCTTGCCCTCTAGAGGAAGTAGGCACAGAAACACGGGTTTTTTTGGTTTGTGCCCGAAGTTGCCCGATGACAGACTTGAGGTGTCACAAAGTCATCGGTTTGCGCATTCTTAGTCCCGGTGCCTCTACGTGTCCAACTGTAACCTGGTGCCCCCAGAACCCACTTCACACCCAAGACTACGCCCGGAGGATCCCCCTCGCCGACAGGAGGGTGGCGGTAGGGGCCGTTCCCACCGCGGTGGGCGGGTACGTCAGGGGTGGGCTGACAATAAGAGTCTCGCTCCCGCCGGGCGGGCCTCGGGGCAGAAGAACGCCCACCTTGCAGGGGCTGGGGAAAAGGCATAGCGTGGTGGGCGGGGCCCGGCGGCAGGCGACTCGCTGATGGAGGTTCAGGCTTCCTCCGGGCTTTGTTCAGTTGCAAGCCATGCCCTCCTTTCTCGAGAAGCCAATTAGATCCCTGCTGGGGGATCATCTGACCTTGCGTCCCCGGCC